ATGTATGATCTTTATTTTTAAAATGCATCACTCTAACATTATACATATCAGATCAAACAGGAATACTACAGTATGCTTTATTTTGCAGGTATTAGTCAGCACTCTAAATTGATATACCCAACACTTTAAGTAGCAGCAAGCATCAGTTCTCCCCAAAAAGCTTTGGTGCAAAATAATTCCTTTTATTTCATGAGTTCAAAGTCTATCTGAGCCACTGTTGTACATCCTAACATAAAAAGAACGCCATGAGCAAAGCTAACTGAACACGAAGTTCAGAGATTACTAACTTCCTGTATTTTATTGGAGTGGAAGCAGCTTGTTTTAACCCCTGGTTAATAGTTTATATCATAATTCTCAAAGAATAAAACACATGTGTTTTTCCTAGTAACACAAAAACCATGACACTAACGAAGAAATAGTAATAATAAGTCCCCATCCAGAGGTAGAAAACTCTTAAATAAACCAGTAATTCGGAGCTTGTCTGAATACCCAATTCATATGCCTGGCAAAGTCATAAGCTGATTTTACTCAACTGGCTTTTATGCAATCATCTCAAAAGTATATGCTGAAATGAAGCCACCATTCTTTATAGTACCAATGCAGATACTCTCAAAGGCAAATATTTTAAAAGCAAACATTCTTCATATACCACAGCAAACAGAGAAGCTGAGTCTGCAGGGAGACAGAGCTGCAGAGTTCCAAAGGAGATGCGATCAAGCAATATGCCTTTCAGCTCCACTTTGGAATATATGCTTTCAAGATGTGCATACAGACGAGACTGTAAGGAAGGATGCGGACCTTACTTTTTTAACAAAATTTTCTAGTATCAGCTAGTGGCAGAAAGTTCTGCCATCAGTTAGTGACAACAGTGTAGTAGTGAGTATCTGCATTGTGCTGAGAGGTAGATTGGGACTTAATCCTTGGATTTAATAACAAAGTTTATTTAAATTGTTTCACTCAATTTTTCACACTTAACTTTTTAATTCAAAGTAAATTTCTGAAGTGACGACAGGTCTTTGGAAACTTTTGTTTTTAGTTCAATGTCGACATAAAATAAACTGATAAAATAAGTTTTTGTCTTCTGCTAAAGACAGATGTGCAAAGCCGCTATCACACAGCACCATGCTTCCAAAGGAGGGCCCCTTGCAGCTGAAGCAGTCATGCAGACAGAAGCACGATGCTTCTAATACCTCGCCATAGAAGGCACAGCCATGAGGCGTCCCAACCAGGATGGAAGTTTCTGTCATGATCAACAAATCGTACAGAATAATCCCAGCTCAGATTTGGCTAGGGTGCCACCTGCCTGATGATGTGTCAGGGCCATGAGCCTCTAGATTTAGCATTTATTGCTGTGAGAAAAAAACTCAATGCATTAAAGATAGCAGTTTGAACCTTTTTGTATAGGGAATAGGAAAGTGCAGGAGGCATACAGAATATATAGAAGGTTTTTTCTTTTGTTTAAAGCAGGGCAGGGCACATTAACTTTCTGAACTAGTTAAGGCTCTGAGGGGAAAAATTTTCTGAATCATAATCTTAAAAAATCATAACCCATTCTAAAGCAACACCATAAAAAAGCTGAAGGTCTTCCTCCTTCAGCATAAATTTCAAGTCTGAGATAATCAATACATTCCAAACTCCAGAAGAAAAAAAAAAGACATTCATGTTAAAATATAGTAGCAACTAACAGTGATGGAGAAAACTGCCAGACTTTTTCTATGATACAGTACTATGAAATCTTTTTTGAAATGGTGTTGGGGACAGAACGTAGCGCATGACAAACCTTCTGTCACTGAACTACACTTTCAGCCCTCGTTCTTTTTTTAACTACCGGAAAAAAACACAGATTTAAATAATCCTCATTAGAAGAAAGGGAATGGAAGTCTTATTATCAATCCAATTTTATGTTTCTCACTAATAAAAATGAATTCATTATGTTCTTGAATTTCCGGAAGCAAGTTCAATCCTCTAACAGCTTTGATTTTGCAAATAACATCAAGTAGCAAAATACAAGTAACTGCAACATATAAAATTATACTTCAGTAGAAATGCTTTTATAATTGGATACAGATGCTTAAAATCATTAGTTTTTGTATTTACTTTAAAAAGACATATTCTAAGCCATAATTCTTTTCAATTACATTTTAACAAAGGAAGAAAAATAAAATATGAAAAATTTGTCCTAAAACATTTTTTTCTGAAGTGAGTGCTATTCATGCCCAAATCAGCTCTCGGCTCATTGAGGTTAGACTGTGCACCTTAAACAGTCTATCACACAGCATTTCCTGGCTTTCAGTGAAGGAAAACTTCTGATTGGAAAAGAAAAAAAAAAGCGGGAAGAGAAACAAAACATGAGTTTCAACTGATTATACGGACTGATAACCAGTGCGGCTTTTCCTTCTTCCAATCATATAAGAGATAAATACAACAATTATAAGGAAGCCCAAGGCCACACCCACTGCAACAGGAATAAGAAAGTTGAGGTCAGAGTCAGCAGAACATTCTTCAGCTGTTAGAAAAGAACAGACAGCAAGGAAAAGAAATTAGTGAAGTATACAATTAGGTAGAAACAAGCAACAAAAAACAAGCATTTAAGAGTGCTCAAAGGTTAGTCTTTTATAACTTTACCCTTATTTTCTTATTTTTTCAGTATTAACCCAAACATTTTCAGCAACTGATCATCCTGCATCTTATTATCAATTCATCTACAATCACACCAAATTCCTCAGCACGAAAAGCAGAAGGGAAGAATGGGAAAAGGCTCAAAATACAGAATTATGCTTACATAATATGGGAAGAGTTTAGGTTTAACTGTCTACTGCCACTGGGGAAAATCATCCACACTCATAAACCACTTCCTGTGGATTTCCCCACTCCCTTTCTCCCTTGCATAGCTATCATTAAATTATGAAAGAATTCTTTATATGTAATAAAATTTATGACTCAAGATCAAGGAAATACAGTATAATTCCTTTGCACATGCATTACATAGTTACCAACTGAGACATTACTATTTTCAGCTGAGGAGTGGTCAGGAAGAATAGCAGCAGAATCTACACTTCCTAGGGCCACAGAAAGCAATGTGTTCAGTGCGGACTCTGAGCTCTGAACTGAGGCAGAACGGAACTTAAATCCTGACTAAAAGTACTAGTTTAAGAACCTTCTTAAGTAATTCAAACTGGGCCTCATAGAAGGGAGATAATACAAGGTGTTTAAGGATGAAATATAAATATTTTAAAGCATTTGATACACATCAAGTGGTAAACAAGTGTCCATCCCCTTCGTTTTTCCTCCCATGTTTGTGGTCCCATCAGAGGAAGTTTAGGTTTTGAAGTGACAGATCATACTTACATTATTGCAGAGGCCAATACTAAGCAAAACTTAACACTGTAGCTCAGAGTACCCAACTCTGATCTCACATATTCAAATTTAAATCAGCAGTTGTTTTACTACTGAGTGATTAGATTTCGATGAGGCAATTTTTATCAAGATGCTATTAATAGTTTGTTGCCCACCAGATACATCATCTCAGTAATGTCCTTCCTTTTTCAGTAAAATTTTGAAACTAAATTAATCATTAAAGGTCTTTTTCAGTAGAAATCTAATGTAATTAACAAAAGTAGAAATCTAATGTAATTAACAAAATGTGACATATATTTAGTATGATTTATGACAACCGTACTTGCATTTTTTTGTCTTAATTGAATTTTTCATCTTATCCTTTTGTCATTCATAAAAAATGTGCTAAGGTTCTGCAAACATACCATTTATTTCAATAATCACATTAGCCTTTGTTGGAAGGATTTATCATATTTTACTGCAAGACCTCAAACAGAGATCAAGAGCCGGATATCAAGATACACTGTAGTGCTAATTGGTAAGTTACAGAAATTCTGAACAGATCACCATGCATATTAAAATGAATCAATAATCATTTTAATGTGAAAGTCTTTTTATCTATTAAGCTTCCTTCGTGCTTATCTATACATTTGGTATCTGTGCCTCACTTATACCATGGAGCACGCCTCAGAAAGGGCCTATTATGTCATTCCTTTTAATGCCAGCAACCTCTCCCTGCCCCCCCACCTATGCTCTGCCCCACCGGAGCTGTCTTGCAGAAGCAAGAACCTAGCTGCTCTGCTTCACTGCCTCTGTCCTGAGACTGCTGTTGGCTTACATTTCATTAAGTACTAGTCTGATGACAACACTAAATAGATTTTAATGCTCCAGAGATCAACAAGATGAGGTAGAAAAACACAATACAATCTGTCCTAAGTAGTTCATAGAATATTTCTATCTTTCAATGCTAATCAGGCATCCAAAGAGCAAAACAAAGGCGGTGTGGTGGGAGATGTGGCAAGTGGTTAGATATGCTTGAATCTTTTCAGCTTATATTGCTGAAAGATGAGTCGTTTTTCTGAAAAGCTAATTCTGAAGCCAGTTTAAATTGTATGGTAGCCTCTTCAGTCTGTTTTTTTTTTTCACCCAGGGCACTGGTTTCTTCTTGTACTTGAACAAAGAAGTCAGTAAAGTTTGTATAACCTTAAAAATGCAGATGGTCCTGCAGACAATCTGTACCTGACTCCACAGAAGACCAAATTTGGGCATACTGGATTAGCATTTACGCCACATCAATACTTACTTAATAAACTATATGAAAAGGCACACTTGATGTGTTTAAATCAGGATGGTTAAACATTGAAACAGAACACCAGTAGAGAAACAATATTTATTAATTCCATTAAAACACACCTACATGTTTTGTTCTTATAATGGCTGTGTTAATAAGTTTAAGGCACCTTAGGTTAGGATCAAAATTTGGCCAAAGCTCTTTAATAAGATAGACCATAAAACACTCCACACCAATGCTCTTTGCAACAAATTTATCTCCAGGACCAGTAAACATAATTTTCTTTCAACTTTACGTTGATCAATCAAATGGTGGGTCTGATATAAGAGTTAAAGTTTCAACATATTGATTTTATAAAGCAAAGTGTTTCATACATTGAGCAAGAAAACCTTGTAATGTCATGTACTGTTATACAATCAATCAGATTGCAAGTTCTAAAATTGCTCATATCCAGCATGATGGCGCTTGAGACCAATAAAATAAGCCAGCAACACTAGAATGAGTACTCCTGCCAAGGCTGCTCCCACCGCTATGGGCACAAGGAAGTTGTCATCATCTGCAGTGCAGTCTTGAGCTGGATGTGGAGAAAGCACAGTTGAGAACAGAAACAATGACAACATTTTCAATCCATCTATTTTAAGTTAAAATGACAGCACTTTCCAACACAAATATTTCGAGTGTTTGTTTTTCACCAACATAACAAGTCAGTGCCACCCATTATTAGCAAATGAGATGTTCCACAAAAGTGACTTGCCAAATAAGCAAATTATACACTTTTACATATCTAAACACTATGCAGTCATTTTAAGCAAAAGATGTATGAAGTGATCGTGTACTTCCCAGGTTTCTTAACAAGAAGACGATGAGTGCAAACGCAATTAGCCTCTCCTTGATCAGGCTGTGAGCTTTCAGAAGCAAAATGTCACCATCTTGAAGCATGGGCCGAGGCCCTGTGCCTTGTGAAGCATTAACTCACCAAATGAACAATACAAAACACACACAAAACCCCAATGCAAGAGCAACCTGGGGTCACTGAGCACAGGGGAAAAGATGCAAACTGGGCCTGGTGGTATAGCAGTTGGCCTCAAGACGCTCAGTCTACAGCGAGAATCAGACAAGGATATTAGTGGTTATGACTTCAAAATGTATTGCAGTAGAGGCAAACGATATACAAATTATCATAGGAGTGCCTCAAAGCCACAATCAGCCTTGTTACACAAAAATATTTTCAAGTGGCGACATTTAAGGTGACTATTTTAGGTTTGGGTAGGAGTTAGTATGCAGGTAATGGGACAATGGCTTTTTGTGTGTAAAAAACAAAAATATGGATGGTAAGAAAATATGGACAATGGCGCAAGTAAGTCTGCACAGCTGGAAAGATGGGTGGGCTGGACAGGAGGCAGAGTCAGTGTATGAGGACCAAATCCTAAAAGTACTCTATGAATCTTGGTAGTTTATTCTTGATGGAAAAAGAACCCTCAGGATTTTAGGATTTGGGTCCTTCCTTCCTTCCTTCCTTCCTTCCTTCCTTCCTTCCTTCCTTCTTTCTTTCCTTCCTTCTTTAGGCAGGGTTTCACTATGTAGTTCAGGCTGGCCTTGAACTCAATAGGTAGTGTAGAATGGCCTGAAACTCCTAGTGATCCTCCTGCCTCAGCCTCCTGAAAGGTAGGAACAGCCATGCATCACCATGCCTGGCAGTACCAGGATTTTAAACACAGTGTTTGTTTTACTTTTTTTTTGGTACCGGGGATTGAACTCAGGACCTTGTGCTTGCCAGGTAGGTGTTTATGCTCCTGAGCTACATCCCCAGCCCAGGCTGTTTGTTTTAGAAGTTATGGTGGAAGGCTAGGGATATAGCTCAGTGTCATAATGCTTCCTGGCAAGCACATGGTCTAGAGTTCAATTCCCAGTACCAAAAAGTAATGGTGGATAGAAAACTAGAGGTAATAACTTAGGAGGTGTCTTTATTGTTAGAATTCAAGTGACCAATGCTATAGTCCAGTACTAGGTTAGCGAAGTGTAGGTGTAGAAGGGATACAGTACAGATCCAATTACAAAGCAGCATTAACCAAATGAATGTAGAGTGTGGAGGAGAAGGGAGGCAATAGGATGGTTTCTAATTCCACTTTTGAATGATTATATAGATGCTTTCATTGTGATGGGAATCCCAGAGGAGACAGACATGCATCTCCTTGTTGGTATGCATGCAATTACTGCTGTGAGGGGTAGCTGAGAGGTGGTGGGAAAGGACAAGCGGGTGATTGAGTTTAAGATGCCTACACCATCACTTTATATTTCTCATTAAGGGCAAGTAGAATGAAAAGACATTAAAAACTCTTGTGAAATCAGTATTTAAGGGACGAAGGCATAAAAAAAGAAATAGAAAAGGCAGGTAGAAATGGTGCCCCAGAAGCTAAGGGTTTCAGTTAGCCTCATAGACTAGTGTAAAAATAAGAGAAGCCCCCAAAAATGTTCATTGGGATCCAAGCATGGTAGTGCACGCCTACAATCTCAGCACTCTCAGTGACTTAAGAGAGACCGCATCTCACAATTTTAAAAATCATCAAAGAGCTCAGTGCAAAGATCTCAGGTTCAATTCACAGTAATAAACAAAAATGTCCATTGGATCTAGCAGTACAGAAGGCGAGGGTATGAGTCAAACTGCTGTAGCTTTAGGAATGAATGGGAAGTAACTAGTTAGGGTCGCAAGAACTTGGGATAGAAAACATACATTCATTTCAAGAAGTGTAGAATGACTTTTGAAATTAAGTTTATTGGTGCACTTGAAATATACATAATGATCACTTTCATCATAAGGACTCTGTACCTGTACATGACATATCTCAATTCTTTTTTTTCCCACCTCTTTACCCCTCCTTCAATCCATGTCCCACTTATTTAGAAAAGCTTTCTGTTATTTCTTTTCTTTTTTTCTTCTTTTCCATCCCTTGATCTCCCCTTCCCCCTCCCTTATTTCCCTTCTCATATGAGTACCTTCTTCCTATTTCATAGAATCCTGTATACATCCTTAACAGCAAAATAGCTCAATCCCTGGCACCACATGCTGTGCTGGCCCTGCCCCCAGGCATGCAGAGCCAGCCACCAAGACCGGGCGTGGTAGCACACACCCATAATCCCAATGCTAGGAAGGTTGAAAACATGAGGATCACTATGAGTCCAAGCAGCATAGTGAGACCCTGTACCAAATATACTTTTTAAAAAGTACAGAGGTAGTTGAAGGGGGACACAGGAACAAGAAAATAAGGTGTCTAGGTGGAAGAGATTTAAATATATTTATAGGGTGAGAGTTAAATGTTCATAGGATGAGAGACAGAGCCCTAGGAAATACAGGCTGAAGATGCTGAATGGTATAAGGCCTCCTAGAAGGTACGAGGGATGAGATCCCAGAAGCACTGATTGGGAAGAGAAAAACTTACTCTGATAGCACAGAAGAGGTGGAATGAAGCAGATGAGACTCCATTTGCAGACAGGGAAAGGCAGGTGGTTGAACACCACTGCTCTCTTCTTCCCATTTCCTTGTTTATTGCCCTCGTGCTCTTCCTAGTTTGCTATCTACTAGGACTGATAAATCAGGTAATTATGCTTACTAGAATTTTGTCAAAAGTAACAACAGGTTTCAAGGCACCTTTGATTGTGCTTTCATTCAGAAATGCCCCAGGTTTTTTTCTCCCGTTTTTTTCTAATAGCCTCTAGGGCAAAAACTGGGAACCAAATGCAACCGTGGAGTTTACTGACTTTTGACAATAACTTTGTCTGCCAACTCAATGATCCTTATGAGCTTGGTAAAGAATCTAGGTAGATCAGTTTGCCAGATGTAACTCATGACTAGATGGTGTTAAGAGTCCCCAGGTAGGTGCTCTCCATCTATTTCCCAAATTACCATCCAGCCTATGAATTACTAGGTGGCACATACCCTAAAATATTATGCTTTGCCTCTAAGATCTTTCATTTTTAAAAAAATTCTTTAGTAGATGAATTTCTTCTGCTGGCAGCAGACTAATATTCCTTTTTCAAATTGGGTATCTGACCTAATACTGAAAGGACTTTCACAAATACTGCCAATATGGTTTCCATGTAAGACAAATATTCCCATATCAAAAAGGCAATTACAATATTACAAAGCTCTTCCTAGATGCTAACACTTACTTAAAATGCTCTCAATTAGTATATGAAATATTAATTTTTAGTATTGATTTTATGAATTCAATATTTAATATTTAGGTGATGGAAAGGAATTTGGGAAAAACAATGATTTTTAACAAGATCACATCTTGAAGAAAATAAAACCTTATTCTATATGTGATTTTGACTTGATTTATCTGACTAATGTAATACCGAAAATATTTCTAGGAAAAGGAAAAGTATATTTGTGGAACTGTTTAACAGCCCTAGAAGTGATAAAAAGTTTTAAAGATTAAAATGTTTCATGCTGGGGATGGGGCCCACTGGTAGAGCACTTGTCTTGCATGCACAAGACCCTGGGCTCAGTCCTCACACACACATACACATATACACACACACACACGCATTTCTTTTTTGAGCTGGGCACAGCAGTGTGCGCCTATAATCCCAACACTCTATGGGCTGAGGCAAGAGAATTGCTGTGAGTTCGAGGCCAACCTGGGCTACAAAGTGTACTCAAGGCCAGCCTAGAGGCCGGGGAGGTGGCTCAGTGGAATAAGCGCTTCCCTGGCAAGCACAAGGGCCTGAGTTCAATCCCCGGTTCTGCAAAAAAAAAAAAAAAAAAAAAGGCCAGCCTAAACTGCATTGTGAGGCTCTGTGTCAAAAAAAGATTTTAAAAAAGAATTACATTCTTACATAATTTATTTATATATTTATATATGTTTGGATCTGCACTCAAACTGAAGTGTATTATAGACAACTGAAGAGATGCAGAAAGCTACTGTGTATCACTTCTGCACATCTACACCAGTTTCAAAGACAAGATATAGTTACTGGTACACCAGAGTAGCTACCAGAGTAAAAGAAAAAAATGGGTGGGAGAGTCCAAGAAAATTTAGCATTATCTACCTAAATAAGCACATTAAATACTACAATCTTAAAAATATAAATCTTTTTTTTTAAAGACAGGGTCTTTTAAGTGGAAAAAATATATATAAATCTTATAAAAAAATTGCCAGGTAGGGCCAGGGAGATAGCTCAGTAGACTAAGCACTTGCCTGGCAAGTGCAGGGTCCTGAGTTCAATCCCTGGTACTGCAAAAAAAGAAAAAAAAGAAAAAAAAGAAATTATCCTGGCAAATAATACAGGAAACTTAAGGTTGTGCACTGTACTTTTAAATGTGAAGTATGTTCTTGATACGTAACAAGTAGCTTCTTATCAGCATCCTGCCAAACATATTCAAATGTGCATTTATCTTCTCTAAAATGGAAGTTATTTCTCAAAGAAATAAGGGTAGCAAAATTTTAAAGTCCCAAGCACAGCTGGACATGTGGTACACTCCTATAATCCTAGCACTTGGAAGGCTGAGGCAGGAGGATCACCGAAAGTTCAAGGCCAGCCTGGACTACATAGCAAAACCCTGTTTCAATC